CAACATTTCAGCATGCTGCATTTAAATCTATTTTGGTATATTTAAAGTAAATTATGGTACAAACGAAAAATGTCATACGGCAACCATAGTCAGCACACACTAAAGTAAACAAACTAGAGATTAATAGCAAATTAGCGAAAAATAAACACAAGTGTTGTGCATATTAAATTTACTCACTTTTTCGTTGTATACTAGCATTAGTAATAAAATTTGCAATAAATAACTCGAAAAGCCCATATTTTCTTTTGTTTATTTACAAACATGTGTTTGTGATCAGCTGATTTTCTTACTTGCAAGTTTTAGCTGGGAAAAATTTCCAACAGAAATTTGCAGCTCTCTTTCACATTTTGCTCTCTCAATTTCCCCTATTTTGCAAGTTTTACGCAAAACCAGTAAAAGTTTTCTAAAACTTTAGATAGTTGGGCGTACGAGTACACTCCTATTATGTGAGCGTCAGTTTTACAGTTCTAGTTAACAATACTGTTGATGGCATCCCATCCCTTCTTCGAATTGCCTCGAGAATCTTGAAACTTATTTAAAAAATAAAATTATAGTTTAAAAAACTAAAACCTCCCTATTATAATTGCCATTCGTACTGTCATTCGTACTCATGATTCAATAATACAAGGTTAGATAATTATTGACAGCTGCGGTTTGACAGTACCTTACAAAAGGCTGCATTTACGAAGGACAGAGAAAGGGCATGAATGCAATCCCTTGTTGCGAATATGGTAGTAGAAAAGTACGCAAAGTAGGCAATTAGTAGTGGAATTCCTTTTGTAAATTCTAATGTATTTGCAGGAAATCTGACATTTTAAATGAAATGTTGAACGTAATATTGATATATCCACGTGAATTACGTAATTTATGTGCTATTTAGCTGTATAAAAACTGCAAAATTACTCAAAATTAAAATAAGACTACTATGAGATTGATGTAAATACCCAACGCTTATGTTTTCATCAGTTAAACATGCTTCATATGCATATACAAATAAACATATTGCACAAAAGCTTATACTTTTATTTCACACCAAAGCTACACTGTTTCCATGTAAATTTGCAAAGAAGCAACACCGTGCCACTGCTAAGGGAGCGGTGCGAGAGAGACAACTGTCAATTTATCGAACCTTGTATTATTGAGTCATGATTCGTACTGTTGTATGTAACTTGAGAATAGAAATCGCTGCATCTTTTAGGCGCATCAATATTACATAGTTACATCCCGAGCTAAATTTGGTTTGTACAGTGACGAGCAAAACTGTAACATGGTTTAACACCTTTTGTTTCAGCCACCGCTATATTTCCAAGCTCTAACGACTTTCATACTTTTGCTGTATATTCTTGTTGGGACATCCCTACTCCCTCTCTCATAATGGTTTGAAGTCAATACAACGACAATAAAAAAACCAGCAGACAAAAATGTAAATTAAGGCAGATGTTACAGTTTTGCACTCATATATTTTTAAGAGCTTTTTAACAATTTTCACGAAAAAAAAGAACTACTAACACAATGTTCAGTACTCTTTTGCCTGTTTCAGTTCCTGGATGTGATTTGGCATACCTTATTTGTATCTTTGTAAAAATTCTGGAGGTATATCCTTAGTTTGCTTTCACAGCTCATGTACTCGATTTTACGGACTTGGATACTTATTAAGCTGTGCTTTTAGTTGATTTCGCAAATTCGATGAGATTCATGTCCGCGGTTTGTGGAGGTCATTTCAAATTAGCAAATTTTTGCTTTTGTATCCAGTCTTTGCGAACATATGCAGTATGTTTTGGGTGATTTTTCAGCAGAAACTCTCATTTTTCGACTACACTTGCAAATTTTGTTGAAATATGAACAGATACTGTTCCTTACGCATAATGCGTACTAACGGACCAACAAAGTTTTTGAAATACAACCCCAAACAATTAAGATCCTACCACTGTGATTCACAGTTTGTTGTACATGATGCGCTTAGGCTTAATTTGGGTCTTTGATCCAATACCATGCCCGGCCATCTGATTGAAAGCGGAATTTAGTCTTTTCAGACCAAATAACCTTCAATTGAAACTTAAAAATATGTTTTTTATTGCATTCTGAACGGCCTAACATATCCCAATAGGCAAGGGTTCGGTTTTCGTGCGATGCAGCGAAATGCTGCCACACTCGCACATGTATTATGATCAAATTTGCTTTTCTCTTCTTTATGATGCCTTTGCGCTCAATTTGGCAATTCTTCGCCTCGCTGTCTATTGATTTGCATTAAAGTTTAATACCTAAAGCGGTTCTGCAATAGTAGTAGCTGCATCGCTACTTGCTGCTAAGTTCACAAGATATCGTACCGTAATATTTTTTAACAGACTTCCTTTGTCCTTGGGAACACTTTGGGCTATATTTTTTCTAAGTCTTAACATTTTTAAGTAGCAAATTCCAAAATTTTTTGCCACTTTTCGTGCGGTTCCGCCTTTCCGCAGTAAATCTATTATTTACATTTATGGTTCCTGATTAACTATGTTATTTACTGGTGATCACTTCTTCAATAAAATACAATATCAGTGTACGAAAATAAACTATATTGTACGTTACTATTTCGTTTCGTTTATTACTTTAACAGTTCGGTACAATACGAAACAAAACGGCTGAGTTCACTTTGGCGATAGTACACTACAGTAGTTTAGTAGTTACAGACGAAATAACAAACGAAATGAATCGTGCAGGGAAAATATATTTATGTATGCACATATATGCAATAAACAAATACAAAACGAATGGCTGCAATGAATAAAAAAAAATAAAAATGTTTTTTAATTGAATTGGATATGAAAATTTACAGAAAAAATTATTTTTCACGTAATTGAAACGTTTGCATACATATAAAACGTACCCTATGGTACAATTGTCACAAACGAAAAGCAAACGTTTCTCGTTGGGGAAAATGACAGTGAATCTTACAATTTGTTTCTGACTATTTACAAAACTGTACAAAACCACAAATGATATGATGATCGATGAGCAGATGGGAATTGTTTTGTACAGTTTATTTTCGTACCCTGTACAATATAGAAAAAAGTCATCTGACTTCCAACTAAGTAAAAGATAACTGTCAAATGCAAAACTGAGAGTGAGTGCAAAATTGTAACATCTGCCTTAATTTACATTTTTGTCTGCTGGTTTTTTTATTGTTGTTGTATTGACTTCAAATCATTATGAGAGAGGGAGTAGGGGTGTACCAACAAGAATATTCAACAAAAGGATGAAAGTCGTTAGAACTTGGAAATATAGCGGTGGCTGAAACAAAAAGTGTTAAGCCATGTTACAGTTTTGCTGTATGTAGGTTTCTATTTGTCCAAGGTAGGTTGGTATTGAAAATGGGCGAAATCGGACTGTAACCACGCCCACTTCCCATATAACGGTAATTTCCAGAAATACGAAAACTGCGATATTTTAGTAACTACTGAAGATTATTCACTCAAAATTGATATTTACAATAAATTTAAGACGAGAAATAAGAACATTATAAATTTTTGGAAAATGGGCGTAGCCACGCCCACTTATGGTAACATGTGTAACCATGTGGCCGAAAATCTTTAAAATCTACGATAAATCAGTAAATATTAAAGCTAATTTATTCAAAATTGATGCTTGCAACAATTCTTTACNTACGATAAATCAGTAAATATTAAAGCTAATTTATTCAAAATTGATGCTTGCAACAGTTCTCTACCAAGAAATACGTTTATGATAAATTTTTGGAAAATGGGCGTGGCACCGCCCATATATATGTATCTCGGTAACCGTTCTACCAATTTGTACCAAACTCGGTATGGTTATTGTTATTGCCATATAAAAGCAAAACGTTGAAAATTGTTGAAATCGGACTTAAATTACGGCCGCTTTTCATATAACGGCAAATTTCAGAAATGTTTGAAACTTCAATATTTCGAAATTTAAGGACGCTAATTTACTCAAAAAAGTATATATTTAATACTTGCGCCGGGTATTTAATCGGCTTCGCCTGAACTTAGACTTCCTCACTTGTTTAATTTCTGTTTATTCCAACGTGACGGGTGGGATATTTAAGCTTAGTTTTCCTTAAACTTTAAGTAATTCCTCTTTAACCCTTAGTTTGGCAAGTTTTAAACTGTTAACATCTGAATTCAGATATCGGTTTAACACGAAACTAATAAAGTAGAAAACTTAATTATATAATTTACACAGAAAATATTCATTTTCCCAAGAGTGGCGGCAGAGACAACGACGACACCCACCTTTCCGAGAGATTCGTTTCCCATTTTAGACAAAATTTATGTCAAAACATTTCTTGCATAGCTACTTTCTCGAATGTAGTTAATATAATTGTAAGGTCCATTTTATGCTTTGACGGCATTATTATATTTGAAAAAAAGGGTAGCTTGTGGGACAGTACTTTGTGACTGGTGGATCGAGTCACTAGTGAGGACACATAGTATTTTTGCACTTTTTTCCATAAAAGCATGAATATCCTATTAAATAAAATGCGGAAGACCGATGGCAACAAAATTAAAAAAAAAAATCAACGCCAATTTTTGTATATCGTAGCTGTTATATAAAAAAAAACGCAAAAGCAGTCACAAAAAAATCTCAAAAATCAACGGGATTTTTTAGCCAAAATTTTTTTAAAGATTCAGATTAAAAAAAATTGGAAATTTTGACGAAAATTTGTTGAACATTCCTAAATTTTGTATAAAGTTTGAAACTGATATTTTTATAGAATTGTTAAAGTTCTTTCAGATGGACAAAAACAGGATATACATTTATATTTCTTGTTGCTCCGATTGCGAATACAATTTTTTTCAGCCGAGTTAAGTTCAAATCATTGGAATTAACTAAATTAATTATACCAACAATTTCCTTTTTCAGAAAAAAAGCGCCCGTGCTTATACATTTTTAAATTTAACGAACTTATTTATTCAAATTATCGTCACCAAAAATGCAACCATGTGCCACAATCATATGTGTTTCAGGAGAACTGTCACTTTGCGCTTTCAGTTTTTGAGTAATGGATAATTTTTTGGTCTGCACGAAGGCGATTTGGGCAAAAATCATGATAATTCGAAGAAATTCGTACACATTTTTTGCACGAGGAACAAACCTAATGTAAGTGTAGTACTTGACATATCATTTTGTTAACCACTTTTAGCTTTACGGCCTTAAAATTTTTTTGCTGTATAGCTTTTATTGCTTTGTCATATATCAATAGAATACTGTCTTCCTGTAGTAGCGTCCCACATTCCTTAAACTATCCTTTAAGTATCATTCCCCGAACTTCATTTGGTCAATGTCCATAAACTTAATAAAAATAACTGTTCCATCATTGGGAAGTGCTGCGAGTAAAATAATAGCAGCAGAATTCAAAATGATGTTGTTGGCAAGTTATGTTTATTTATTTATTTTTAATAATTTTCAATTAAAATATGGCTCGATTTATAACAGAAACCACATAAACAAAAGTTTCAAAGATTGCACAAAGTTCACAAAAATTAATCAAACTTCAGAAACATTTTATAAAAATTTAAAAATTTTATTCAGAGATTTTAGAATTTTTTTGAATATGTAATTTTGTAGCCCATTGCAAGTTTCAAGACAATAAAAATTACCTTTGATTTAAAAATTTTTTTAGTTGGGGGTTTTGTGCACTTTTTCCATAGAAAAATAGATTTTGATCTCGACAAGAAAAATCTAAAAAATCAACGGTATTAGGGTCTTGAAACTTCTACAAAACTGCATATTCGAACATTTTCTAAAAACTCTGAATAAGAAGTTTGAAAATTTTTTGAAGTTTGAATTATTTTTGTGAACTTTGTGCAAGCTTTGAAACTGTTTTTATGTGTTTTCTCTTATAGATCGAACTATATTTGAAACGAAAATTATTAAAAATAAATAAATAAGCAATTCAAAACCGAAATTTCAAAACCGAAAGTAGTGAATATGGATATAAGTGTGCTTATTTTATTTTAAAATTTCATCGATTTTTTTTGGCTTTAGATGAATGGCCGAAACGGGTAAATGATCGGATTTTCAACCACACAAGGAGACAGTGTGCGTATTATTTTAAATACCAATACTTGAATGCTGAAGTTAATCAGGGCCATCTACAAGGTATGTATTTGCGATTGCGTAGCAAACTTAGAAAGTTTTATTCGCCGCACTACTGAAAATTTAATAGTTTTAAAGTGTTGCATATTAGGCGGATCTGGAAAAGGATGTGGTAAGGTGTACTCTCGAGGAGAAGAAAGAGAAATAGCTTCGAAGCAGCTAAACCACAAAACTGCGGAAATATATCGCACTGAATGAGCGCATAAGCTACATAAGCTAATGAAGGAAGGAGAGAAGGAGGCAAGTATTATTCCAAATCAAGGAGCTTTGCGATACGCAAGATACAGACACGTTGCCAAAAGCCACCTTAATGCAAATACAATAATATCACTCTACTTGTTAAAATCAAGAGCACTAAAAGAAAGTATTTACAACATCTCGTATTCGCCGTTTTATGTACACTTCGCCACAAAGCACCAGGATACTGTCTACCAAAACTGGTGTAAAAACACTACTTTTTTTATAGCAATAGATGCGACTGGGTCATTGGTTTGGCCTTTTAATTTTCCGGACAAACAGAAGAGCAGCCCGATTTTCTTTTTATATTTAATTGTTGATAGAACACCAGAAGTCTCAACTCCTATCGCTCAAATGTTGAGTGGCTGCCACGATACAAATACCATCTATCATTGGCTACGGGAATGGATTACAAAGGGTGGTTTGGATTATCCACCGGAAGTAATTTGCGATGGAGCCAGAGCACTTTTGGGTGCAGCCGTACAAACATTTACTCATTCTTTTACCATAAACGAGTACGCTGAGTCAATGATCGATTCTAACAACATCCCCGTGTGCTATATTCGCTATGATGTAGCGCATTTAAAGAGGTACACGCAGACATTAAGAAGTCCCCAGGAAAAGATCTCAATGCTTACATGTACCCAGACTTGGTGAAATATATAATGAAAGATATGCCAACATTTCCGATGTGGTCGTGCGTTTGCGCGATGATTTTGTATATGGACAAGTGCCGGCATCCAGCGCCCACGTCGAATCAGAAATAAAAAATATAAAGACGCTCCTCTTTCAACAAGAGAAATTGCCGGCCAGGGTTTACACTTTTGTCCAAATGTATAACGAATATGGAAGTGGCACAACGAAGCTGTACGACAGTGGGATGCAGACTCTGCAACAAGAAAAATCGGATATTTTGAACTTGACAATGCCGGCAGCGATAGTTTGGGAGGACGAAGAAATTATACAGGCATAATGAATGAGACAAACACCAAAGAATGTGTGGTAATCATTGCAATAACTAATATCAATATGTGTATATGGCGCTTTCTGTCGGAACATCACTCCCTAACCATGGCGCAATAATCAGATGAAGTAATAAAACAGCTTTCTCGCTTTATTTTCTGTTATTCGGCTATCTTATGACACATTTTAATGGCAAATTTTCAAATAAGTTAATGCCAGATTTTTCTTCTAGCCCTTATTACTTCAGTTGGTATAATTCCACCATGCCCTTTGACACTTTTCTTTTAACTTAATAAATAAAAAAAAAAATATGTAAAACTCATAACTAGAATTAAGCTTTCCAGTGCCGAGTTGCATATTGACCTTGTAGGCAATATTTAAGATCATCATTATTTTATAGCTGATAACTTCCATTTTTTATCAGGGATCGGGTCTTTAAATGAAATAAGCTTCAAGGTCAATATGGCAGCCGGCATTGGAAACCTTGACACTTTTTTTTAATGTATTTTACATATTTTTTAAGTTAAGAATGGACAAATGGGGGACGTTCAGAAGGAATGCCTCATATATATTAGTATGTGACTTGTTGAAATAATTAATCAAGC